AAAAAAAAAAAAGAATTTGCTGAATTATTGAAGTATAAATTAATAATATTAATAACGGGAAAATAGCATACCATTGGTTCAATCTTGCTGAAAAATTCTTGCTTATAAAGTATTCCAATTGCATATCTCGCTATCAAGCCACCAAGAGAATATCCAACAAATGAAATTTTTGAAACTTTATAAAGATCTTTGCCATTGATATATTCAATTTCATCATTTATCTATTGTTTAAAAGCATCTCATGAATCGATAGTGAAAAGAAACGAATACCGTAATTAATATCTTTACATACCTCCTTAACAAGTCTTTCACCGCAAACATCAATGCCATCATATGTATAATCTGATGTATTGCGTTTAGCATTCAACTAAATAAAAAGTAAATTGTCAGAACCTGGGAGAAACAAACAAAAAAAGAAAAAAAAGGTGCACATACGATATGAATTCTATCTTTATATTTTGCCATTAATTGATCCATGAGATATTGTAAATGGCCGGGATTTCCCCAAAGCCTGAATAGAAAATAAACCTCAGATTAACTTAAATTAACAATAAACTATAATTTATAATAATACACACCCATGAACCAAAACGACAAAGTGAATTTCTTTCTGTGTCCCTTCTAAAACCATTTTTTCTACAATACAAAAGAAATCTGTTCCTCTAACTTTTATAATAAATAAGTATGTCCATTTTACGTGTTTTAAATATGCATGAACTGGGAGACCAAATAGGCTGTATTTAAATTGCTAATTAGATTCAACTAATACAGGATCGTAGTACAAGGTTTTAAAAACCTGCATCTTACCTGTCCTATCTGTTTGAAATATATTACGTAATTTAAAGCGCTGTAATTTATCTAGCATATATGCTTAATCTTTCATTTCGTCATTTATGTTATACATTATTTATTGAATATGTAATCAAATTACAAATTGATCTATGAATTTAAAAAAGATGTTCTACAAAAAAAAAAATAAATAAAATAAAATATTGCAAATTCAAAAAACGGACCTGCCGTTCTCGGAAATTAGTGTCGAAAGATGATTAATCGTTGGGTGCGGTTATCGTAATCTCAGCTTGACACATGATCGGTCATCGAATGCCAGGTCTATTTAAATAAAAAAATTATCCATATAAGGTAAATGCGGGTATTTTGACGAATGTGGGTATTATAACGAATTGAACATATTACAAGAAACTGGGTTTTTTTCTAAGTAAATCAAACTTTACTCACTAAGTAAAATTGTTCGAACATTTTATCTTTTACTTATTTTCAAATTTTGGCGAATA